AATGAGTACCGTCTAGACCTTCGAATAAAATGGCTACCGCTCCTGTAGCTCCGAGAACCTAGTCAATTTTCTTTATCTGGCTCGGTGGACCATTTGGTACACCGATCTAAATGGAGGACTGTATATAGGTCTGACGCGCTCTCTCGGATTGCTGGCTGTACCGCCGCTACTTTTATAATGGTTCCTTCAGAGAAGAACTCGTGTTATATATAATGTATTATATAACAATGACACACTGCGCATGTGCAGTGTGTCTCGCAAAGAAAAGTATACTAAATAATAATAGTTCCCAACAAGTTCCTAATAGTACTCTTGATGTCCCTGGTGAAGTGAGCTGTTTATTTTATGCCCTTTCATATCTCATTACTGGGTCCATGTCTCAGCATTACGAATTACGTAAAGCAATTGTTAGTAATATGCCAAACTTTGAAGAAGAATTGTTTAATAGTACATTAAGTGCAACCAGATATTCAAGCATATATGATTACATAAATAAGTCCAAAATGTATAAAAATTGTGTGGGCCACTGACACAGAGATAATTACACTAACTGCAATATTAGGTACAACCATATATTCATATTCACTAACTCCTACTTTTGTTGGCTGGGCTAGATATGGAACCCAAACATTAAATGGCATTCCTTGTGATACTAACACACCTGCTTTGTATTCGAAGCATGTTGGTACTAATCATTTCCAAGCAGTTAAGTGTATTAATATTTATTTAGCATTGATTGTTGATGGAAGTGGGTATGGTGAATGGGAGGTGAATTATTCTATAAACATTGGTTGTTTAATGTGACTTGTATTTCACTGCTTGTTATGTGTGTGAGTGAAAACCATTGGTGTATCCATCCAGTATTGCTCAGTATGAATTTGATCTAACTTCATGCAGGAAGTGAGATAAATCAATGTATAACAGTGAATATTGAGTACTTAATGCTATTATAATGGACAGTGAGAGGGTGTGAAAGAGGTTTAGTGTTCATTAGAGTTTAGCATTGATTCAAATTTGTGTGACTATCATTCATGTAGGACAGAGGGTAAGAAAGCTGTTATTATCAAATCTGGATCTTGTTTGTGGCTTGTACTACATGTTTATTACAAATATGAGGAGCTTATGGATCTGGGTGCTTCTGAAAAATTTTGAAGGACAAGAAAAATTTGAGAGTAACATTGAAAGTTGTCATAATGCTTGTACATGTAGTAGCATTCAAGCAGTGATTTAGTACATATATTAATGATCATTCATGTTAATGCTGCTATCAATGCTGTGCGCATTAATAAATTAATGCTTGCCGGCTGATGTTGCGCATTTGAATGACGCTGCCATCGATGCTGTGTGCTTAACAAATGCTTGCCAGCTGATGTTGTGCATCATTTGTTGATGATTGTTGTAACATGTGCATGTTCTCATTAACAAAAAATATTGTTTGCACTTTTAAAATTCTTCATGTACACCATGTTATTGTATATAAAGCAGGTCATGAAAGTATTCAGAGGATATCATTAATAAGCAATATTATGTCTAAAATGCATGCATGCACATACATTTATGATCCAATCAGAAACATTGTAGATGCTAACATTATTATTATTATTATTGTCACATTCATATTTATACAGGTACTTATTTGGCACAAGGACTACTATGTGGTGTTAAACAGTGAGGTCTGACTTGGAATGAGACTCAAAAGTATGATTGTGACAAACAACGTATAACATGCATATACATGTACATGTTTATCATAGTGTATTGTACATGTAGTGGATTATTGGTACTTGTAGTTTTTAATGACTATCATGCATGAAATTTATTCCTTTCATAGTTTGATTTATAGTATGTATAATGGGAGTTTCTAGGAATACATAAGTTGATGTGATTGGTAATAAAGTTTTTTCACAATTACTGTTTGTGCTATTGTTATTATTAGCCTGTAAGTTTACATTACTTGCCTTTGATATGTTTTTGTTGCTATTGCTTTACAGGTAATTACAGCTGGATATGATTTAATGATTCAGCAATAGTTTTGCTTGATATTGGAATGTGCAATAATAACTAAATGCTAATCTGGATTTAGGTTGTTGTAACTAAATTAATTTCTTTATTATATGTAACTTAGTGTTTTGTTGTAGCTCCTTGATCAGTAGTTTATCACACTGTAGGAGGCACCAGTCTTTAGCAGCATTGGTTTCACATTATCATAACCTTAACAATGAAATACATAGTAAGATAGAATATTGGGAGTTTACAAAGTGTCTTACATGTATGTATTTTGTTCTAAGTTATTATTCAAGGTTGCATGTATAATTGTTTGATAATGAAGTCATGAATTTATTATGGCCACAGTAAGTAGTGTATTTACTTGTAATTATACACGATGTATAGTATATATATATAGCATAATGATGACATCATCTCTTTGATGTGGTGGGTCCTATATTTTGTATATAGAACAGATCTATATTTTTCCTAGATTTACTGTTTAATTGTTAGCCAATAATAAATGAATAGTAATAATAATCACAACAGTAAATGAATGGAAAATAAATGAACATAATGAGTAATATGAAAACAGTCAAGTTTAATCTCTTGAGCCTGAGAAACTAAAATTAATGGTACACCCATCGATTTTCTGAAAGTTGAAATGCTTCAGAACACTATTTACATCAGAAGGATCCAAGTTTTCTTTTTCATCAACTGTCTGGACTTTTGGCTCGTCTAATTTATCTACATGTTCCTCCTGCTTCACAGTTCCTTCTGCTCCACAGTGGTTCACTCATAAGAACGTACTCCATAAATGCTTAAATGACCACTCCTTTCCATAATTAACTTTTCCGCAATTCATCTCCTCCCCTTAAACATAAATACACTCCACAGTAAAAGAAGACAGCATTTTGTAAAGCTACAGGTGAGTGTACGCCCAATACTCCCATGTCCCACAGCAGGTTTTCTTCTAGATTTGTCACGATACGAGCTTGCACTTTTTCAGTCCCAACACCTTCTTTGTGTAGTTCA